GTGTGTGTGTGTGTGTGTGTGTGTGTGTGTGTGTGTGTGTGTGTGTGTGTGTGTAAAACCGCATGGCATTCCAGATGGGAGAGGATCCTAGAAAAAACAGTGCTGTCTGTCAGCCTCTATCTCATAATTCTATCTCCCCAGTGCGACCCGAGGAGCAGACCTAACAATAGCGAACCTGTCTGCAGCAAAGGTATGCTGTATTTGAGCTGCTCTGAAGACGGAGGAACAGATAAAGACCTTGCATGTCTCTGCCTGCCTCTTCGCTGCTCTGCAGCTTCAGAGGCTGAAGGGGTCTCAGCTAGCACCATTAAAAATACCACCCAGAGTGGGGAAAAACACACCCTCAGGCCAGCTGTCACTCTATTTACCACTTGGAGTGAAATATATGCCTTTGCATTTCTGCCTTTTCCTATTGTAACTACAGTACGCTCTTAAGTGGGCTCTGTCATGCTAGCACACACATACTATAAGCCCTTGTTTGAAACAGCAAGCACTTAAAAAGCCACCTTGGTATCAGCTTTTTATGGCAAAGACATGCTCCTTTGAAAAAATGATGCACTAGAAAGAAGTCATCTGGGACACTTTATTGCAGTCAAATGTAAGATGGATGGAAAAAATGCCCTATTCTTCCACTTGAAGGAGCAAGGGCTTACAGAAGGTGCACTGATATGGGTGTGTGAAGACAGAGAACGATCTGGGAAAGTAAGAAAAAGGACGTCGGGGGTCCCTCCACGCCTCTGGGTTCTCTCTATGTTAATCAGAAACACAAGGTCTCTTCAACCCCCTTTTATTATCACAGGTGCAGATAGTTTGGGGTGACCAGAGGCACAGCACCAGCACATGTACCCCACCAGCTGCCAGCACATCAGCACTGTTTTCGTCTGTTCTTCTTCATTTACCGCCCCCTTCAATCTTTAAACTGCTCTAAGCACCACAGGCCTGAACATTAGAGCACAACCAAGTTATCTGGTTTCCTCTTATCTACCCCAAAGAAGGACAGACAGATTTAACTGCTCTTTGTTTCATGTGCACTAAAGAGCGAAGCCACACAGTTCCTCATAAGTGTGTAGATATACAGTACCTTGGCTCTCATGGTCCGCTCTGCTTCCAGCTCCTCCTCCAGCTCTTCAATGCGAGCCTAATGAGAGATATTGAAATGGATTAAAGTGCATACTTAAAAAAATCAAAACAAGAAAACTTAATTTGCTTTCAGTACCACAGGCCTGAACATTGAACTAATAAAATACAATAAAATATGGGGAGGATATTTCCTCTGCTTTCACAGTACATGTGTAATTTTGACAGAGAACAAACGGGGCGTCATCTCCGCAGACTGTTTGCTATTTCAAGGCGGCACTTGTGTGTGTGGTGAGTCCTTCTCATACACTCCACTTTCTTTAGGGATTTGGCACGCCTCTGGCTTTTTTCCTCAGGTAGCAATTTAGAGCAAGAATGTCCTGTAGGCACCGTCATTATCTGTATTCTGACCCCAGGCTGGGTGTGCTATGTCCGGTCACCGAGACCAAAAATCATCAGCACTGCCATTTCCATGAAATTTGAAGAATTTTTGTTTTTTTTTTCTTTTTGTTCTGTTTTGGGTTTTTTCTTTTGCTCTTGGTTTTATGGTCCTGTCCTGAAGTAAGTGATGCATCAAGGTCTGAATACATGCAGTATTTTATCAGTCAAAATCATTTTCAGGTGTCTTCTATATATTTTGTAAGGTTTATTCCTTCCAGGTTTGTAACCTTTTTCAGCAGCAGCTGAATTACTTCTCATATAAGCATGGCATCATCATGAAGAATGACTAATATGTACCATTTAATGCAGCGGTCCCCAACCCCCGGGCCTCGGACCGGTCCGCGAGGGTTGAGGCTCAGGTGTGAAATGTATAGTTTTCAGGGTTTTTATCGGTTTTCAGCGTTATTTT